TCGATTTGCGACGTCGGAATGTCGTCGATATCTAAACCTGACCATTGTGCGGAAAGGGCTAGCCTAGCACTACTATCAGCTTATCAAGAATATCTGATGGCATTTAAATTGATGACGCCACAAGTGGTACACAGAGCACGACCATTAATTACGCATATATGCGTAGTTGGTATTCAAAGGGTTAATCGCTCTAGGAAGTCTTGCAGTAGTTGTAACAGTGGGTACAGATCGAGGTGTTTATATGAATTACTCGAACGATGGGGGACTGCGGTAAAGTGATAACTAAACCAATAGTGTGCATTATTAACAGCAATGATTTATTCAGCAATCAAATATCCTTTGAGGCGCTTAACTAGCTACATACTTAATACTGCGTTCAAAGAGTTTTTGTGTCGAGTTATGACATTCTCAAATACGAAGTTATCTACTTACTATTCTAGCACCCAGATCTCTTCTTGGCGCCGTAATGGGGTCAAAAGAAAAAAAAGGTCTGAGTACGAGTCAAATTATGTCACTAATTGCCACCAAGTTCTTTTTACACAGTGACCCAATCGTTATTACAAAGTCTACTTTGTTGAACTTTCAGTGTGAGAAGTTACTTATCCCCACCCACCCCTCTCCCGGTCCCCACTTGTGTGACCTCGTTCCAGGCCGCCCTTACAATTTTTTAAGGTAAAGGGAAAACGCCCTGGAACGATGTTGTCACCTCTGACTTACAAGTCAGTAGTCTAAGAATACATCTGAAAAACCTAGTAAATAAAGAACGAATAATATACAGAAAAACGTTTTAGTTTACTATATTAAGAAATCCTTCTCAATTATAGACTGGAAAAACACACTTTCTCCCAGTCTTACAAAACACCAGACGTCGCAAATCACTGACGTATCGAGAGCGAGAAAAAGCTAGAGACTGACGCCTTTTCAGATAACGAATCCTTTCTGACAACAAAAAGTAACATTACTTGTCATTTAAGGGGTAAGCACAGGTTCACAAGATCAGCGCAATTATTTGGATCAGGTGGCAGCTCTCGCAAGGTCTCACATCAATGGCTTGATACCCTTTGATAGAACAATGGAACAAACAACAGAAACAATGCCCCTAGCCCAAAAACAGTAACAGCTGCTATAGTATGAAGACAAAGAGAATTGCAAGCCTACGACAGCTGCTACACTTCCGAACCTTTTATTAAATTTCATGGATTAATGTCCGGTTTCGAGCCAAAAACGCCTCAAAAGTGCGTCTCTCTTCAACCCACTCCCACACACGCGCTAAAACAGTGGGACTGTTAAAAGTCTACCACAAGGATAATGCTGACAAGCCGTCTGAACCACCAAACAAGCTCTTACAGAAATTCTAATTTATATATATCGTACCCAGTCACCCAGTCCTACACGCCATGCGAAGTCGATGGCTAACTCAATCTCTTAACAGTCAGAATTAATTTGCAGCTGGAAGAACTGTAAACATGATCAGGAGACTAACCCCCAAAAATGCAACCTTCAACCAGACAAACAAAAATTCCTTAGGCAATCGAGTACAAGTATTTTTTTTGCGAAAAAAACTTTCCCACGCAACTCACGACTGCTATGAAACCAACTTTCTAAAATTCAGAACCGGGAAGCGAGAGAATGAAACTAATATATATTTTTTATCGTTTTGGGGTCTTTCAAAGAGCCATGGGCCATGGGTGACAAGTTTACAAAAAAGAACATTACAGTTAATCTTTGATTTTTTTGTGACGTGTCTGTTGTCGTGTAACTTTCTATTTAAAACTGGGTACGAGTTGATTAATTCTAGTTTGAAAATTCTAGTATCTTTCTTTCTTATTGAATATTAAACTTTGGAAACATGAGTTCAATCCACTCATCTTTGTCAATTTTGCCATCCATATTGCCATCTACCAGAGCAATATCTTTCGCTGCTCTCTCCAAGGTTATATCCCGGCCAATATCTTCACAGAAATCTCTCAGCTCGGCTGCACCGATCAAACCATCTTTATCCAGGTCGAGCTCAGTGAATAGCTCAGACAGGGTCTGCTCTTTCGTCCTCATGGCTTCGAATTCCGCCAGGTTAGGAATGAAAGTGAACTGGTGCAAATCCTCATTTGCCCAATCTAGTAATAACAGGGAAATTTATTTAAGCAAGCAATAGATCCAAAAAGAGAACGCGCGCATAATCTTGTTCCCACAGGAGATCTGAGAACAAGATTAAACGCGGGCATTGTCTCTGGCAATTTCTTGACTTAGGAAATCTTCAAAGAATAATTAAGCGCTTTTTCCTCTGTGAATAGTCGAGTGAAAGATTTACAAAATAAACGAATAAACGAGTGAATCAGACTTGATGCAATCTCGCCAGAGATTGGTCAGTTATTGGACTCCTTAAAATACCGTTATGACGTAGCTCTTCTCTGATTGGTTGCTCAACTAGAGGCACAACATCTAGTTCGCAGGAGCTTATGGGATATAGCTTGCTGCTTAGCAGCCGGGCTTCTAACTCAAACTGGCGGACGATTTCAAACAAATTACATGAACTGAGAGAACTGACGACTGAATATATAATTTGCATCGAATTCCCCGTCAACCTGGATAATTGATGAAGCACCGTAAACGAAAACAGTAAGTGTTTAACTATTTACTTTTTTTAGTTTCTATTTCCTTGATACCAAACGTACATTTTCAGGAATTTCTGGTGCGCTGAATTTGAGCAGATCGATCTGTTAAAACAAGCGCTCGCTAATTAATGGCTTTTAATTTATTTAATTAGATGTTAAAAGAAATTCAACATCATATGTTGTCCAGATGTGCAAAGTCCTTGAACTAGAGTGACCCATAATCCTTAAGGAAAACTTTGACTTTTTTGATCAGCTTCTTTGTAAAAAGGTTACCGAAATACTTGACCCAGTGTGCAGTTGGATTTTATAACTCTTAGTTTACGGAACTATGAGCCAGATAACCAGGTGAAATAACCGTTTTTATTAAAAACTATCAATTTCACATGGAAATTATTTTACAGCAGAGATCCTGCTTATTGTATTAAATTAACTGGTGTACGTGATCATTGCAACAGACTATGTGATTGCGTTCCTGTCATGAAACATCTTGAACACTCGTGGAAACTTTCAAGAGCTTTCAAACTCGATAATAACAAAAAAAAAAAACCCACTCAACTAAACCTTCATAGATACTTTTTTTAAATTCTACAACTTCACCGCCGGGCTTATACAAAATTCGCGTAAAATAAGCTATAGAAGTTGCACAAAATTAGCTTAGTTAACTGAAGAATAACTGCAGAGGGAGTTTTCAATTGCTAGTTTACCACAGAATTACCACAAGAGATTGTCCCTAAACCTATTAGAAAGTTTAAATATTCCTAAAATGAATTTTACTTTTAATATAGATCAGCACAAAGCGTTTACACTTTTTTAAATTTAAATACTTAAATGTAATAGAATCTCCATGATAATACTGTCAAAAAATAGTCACGGTCGGAATTTATAGACAGCCTTCTTATCTACAGATGTTACTGATGCAATCTGCACATTCTTGAAATTCTCTGAAGTTATTAGTAACGCTTTATCCGTATACAGGGCCCTCACAGGATCAGAATGATATTTATTCAAAGTGATCTCCCACTGTGCTTTTCCTTTAGTGTAAGTTTGACCAGTGTTTGGTGGTGTGCCAAGGGACGTGTCATGTGTAGATGATTTTCGTTATTCTCATTACATGTCTGCTTGACAACTATGGATATTGCAAGGAGAAATTGGCTGTTGATCACACATGCGTTATTCTTGATCCTATTAACATCCTCTAGCACTCTCTTGTTTCTAATCGCTTCCTAATAGCCTTTGTTGCATTTTACTTCCTTTGTACGGCCGAAGCTTTAAGCCATAAATACAAACTCTGTTTTTCATAGGCTTCTCTTCTTTCCAAACGCTGGTCTGATTACAAACACTGTAAAGTTTCTTCACTTTCGTAATGAATTTGTAAGGGTCGGACAGCAATTTAAACCTCAATGTTCGGCAGAGAACGTGTGTTTTAGCTCTCTTATTGTAACGTATTTTCCCCAAAATTACACCGCAATTAGTGATAAAGAACTTTACAGACACCCAGACGCCTTTAAAATCAGAAAGCGACCACACAAAACTCTGGGGTTTACATTGAAGTTTGTTTTTCAAGTGCAAATATTAAACCGAATTGTCAGCTCCTTAAGCCTTGTGCCACCTGTAATTCAATTAACAAACACAATGCTTTCACTTTTTCCTCATTAAAAAAGAGTATCTCTTGTCCGCAAGACGCGATGTGCGCGAGTTTGACTTTGTACTTTTGTATTGGCACAAATGTAACTCGATATTGCTCGATCAATTAACTTGCACTTCTAATTACTTGCAAATTATTGAGTCAATCGAGACGGTGAAAGAACTGTAACTCTGTCTATGGATGGCAGTGAAGGTTTTTTCTTTTCCCGTGTTGTGTTTCGTACTTTTACCATATCAGTTTTCTCATTTAAGGCCAAAACAAACAAGTTAACAGCCGACTGAGAGAGTTTACGGTTTCTTTGAACAACTCACTGTGAGCGATATGACTAATTACCTTTCGGAAGGCAGTATTCAAGCGATGACAATATAGTCAACATATGCACAAAGCGTCCATAAAGAAGCGAGAGGTAAAAGAATTAGAGACCCCTATTTTAGAACGTTTTCAAACGAACTATCTTAATACTACCTACTGACAGAAATTGTTCACGAAGATCGTTCAGACATTCTGCCACAAAAAATAAGTAGTGGTGTGTGTGTTTTAATTTAAGTGACTTGTTTACATGACACAAGAAAAAGAGCTTATGTAAATTTTGATAATAGGCAACCACATGTGAAGTCTCTGAGAAAATTACGATAACAACCTCGTGTCGATAAAACTTGGAATGTTGGCGAGGGTAACCTTTGATATTTTTTTTACATCAAACACGCGATGAAACCGACAACTTGTGATCCAGGATTTAGCTGTCTCGTTATTCTTCAGCAAAAGTGGCCACAAATGTTTTCTTTTGAGAGCTGATTTGCCCATTACAAGAACCCTTATTTAACCCTAAGGCAATCTCTTCAGCGGCTTGGGGTCAAAACAGTTTGGTGCGCGCATATGAAAATGATTATACAACCCATGCGAAAATAAATTTTAATTATATATTAGGGATTCAATTTTTCGCTTTGTTGATCGAAATTTATCAAGCCCCGGAAGGAAGGCTTGCCACGGTTAGAAAATTACATCCGATGGAGTCTTTTAGCGTTGTGCGAATTTTAAATAAACGGTTCGATGTCCTGAGTAAAATGTTAACGTTTTGTACATTTTTAGGATGCCATTTCAAACGCCCAAGCGTTCAGAAATGAACCAGTTCGCGTGGCTTAGAACATTTAATCGCAGGTCTATTTATTTCCGAACTGTCCATTACTTTTGCCTCGCCTTAAAGCTTCTGAATTAATCGTCAAAGCAATTTTGATCGTTGCTATTTTTTCACGCAGCCAATACCGCAAGAAAATATTTCACACTCTTACCTTGAGCTTCGCCATCGGGTGAATTTTTGACCCTGTCTATTGCCTCTTGTCTGACATCTTCCGGGATAGCCTTGTCTTCGAACAAGGATAACAGTTCTTTTTTGTCCTTGACATTTTCAATCAACCAGTCCAATGAATTGTAGCGCAAGTTCGACTTGGATTTGTACATGAATTTGAGCACAAAGGGGGTATCGTTAGGGTGTTTCAGGTGCTCGGCTAGTGACATGAAAGCGCGCAGGGCAACCATGCCGTTTTGTGACGTTGAAATATTCTTCAGTAATTCCACAATCTCCTCGGAATCTTTCCCTTGTAATTTTAAACCTGCAACGCCTGTAGCCGCTGCAAGAATGTAATATGACTGTTTCTCTTCTCTTAATCCTTTTAAAAGCCATTTTAATCGCTTATCTTCGGGCATGATGTGTGGAAAGTGCAGTAAATTCGACACCATTTGGTGTTCGGAATCCCAGTTGTATTCCAAAATGTTCCTAATCATGTCCTTCTGATACTCCTCCAGTTGTACGAAGTCGATTTTTTTGGACAGCCTGTTCGCTTCATCAAGATCGTCCTCGTTCAGAAAAAGCCCTAAAGAGAAATCCACAGCAGTGGTGTTTAATCAATTAGTGTGCGATAATTGAATCAATGTAATGGTAAAATGGGATAGAGTATTATTTCACTCCGAACCTTACCTAATGAACTCGCCATGTTTGGAAAATGACTCCAGACGTCTTCTTTTTCTGCAATGATATTCAAAGCACCTTTTCTTAAGGTTGTTGTTGATGCGGTCTTGTCCAATATAAGCTACAAACACTCACATATCTAACACTCAATTGAGCGTGGACGGCTAAAGCTGTAAAATTACACACGTGAATTGTTTGGCCAGAGGTCTGGCTGTGTCGAGTTGACTTTTCGTTGCAATGCACTTCACCTTTCCTCAGGATCTTTTGATGCGATTTTCACGCATCGATCGCGAGTAGCTCTGCGTGATCCAAGCACAGATTTGAGTACAGTAGTAAACACCCAAAAACAACCCGCTCCTCGACAAGATCGCGAAACGTGAGCCGGTTGAATGTTTGTGTTGACTGTCGTCTGCTCTTACCGGGGGGTCTGGGCCACAAGCTGTCGAGACCATCCGGGAACTTAACCCCTTGTCTGTCACACTCCACTACAGTTTAGTCAAGTACTAGTGGTGGTGATTATCCTGTCTATACAGCATGCGCGGTGGATAACTACCGATATCCGGTCTTTATTTCGATGAAATATCGATATATCTACTTTAAAAAAAAGTACAGTATTCCCAAAACTCTTCAAAACTAGTATTACTAGGTGGAAAATATCACATCAGGGGTGCACAGAATTTTCTAATTGTTTTGCCATGGCCAATGGACATGGCGCATGAATTTGCAATTTTAATTTTGATCGTCTAGACAAAACGTGATTGAAAAACAGATTGCAGATGGTTTTTGTTCAGTTTCGATCCCTGGACTTAAATTTTGAATAAACTATTGTTATGACGAACAATACCTGTATCTTTGAAGGAAACAAAAAATGGAGTTAAGGATAGCACCTGAAACCCATGAGGGCTGAAATTAGACAATGTCAGGATTTGTAGTACGGCAAAAAATGAAAAAAAAAATATATGCATCTCTACATGAAAGTGTCAGGGAATAATTTATTTCTTCTCCTTCTCATTAAAATAGGGGCTAATTTATCTGTGGGTTGGTTCATATTTTTGTGATGGATTCGAGATACAATCCACTTTTTCTACTTGAGTCGCTTAAAACTTGGCTGTGATGTTTGAATGAATTTTAGTTGCGATGTTCTTGCGAAAATTATAAAAATTTGCCTTGTTTTCGAGGAATCGTCTGTGTTACTAGCTTGAAATATTCGAGTAACTCCTCATTTATGAATTAATTGGCAAGTTTTACTTTCTCTTTGTAGATTATCTTTTTCCGGAATTTCCAGTTGTCAAATATTAGCATTGGCTAGAAAAACAAATTATGGAAATTGAAGGAGTGTCCTTTAATAGTTCCCTTTGTAGAAAAACAAACTCCCCGCTGTTAGCGTGACCATGGGGAAGAGTTAAATAGTATTGCTGTTAACTCCACTTTGCCAGCATTCATTTCCAATAACTTTAAGCCTCTGTCTTCGAGGAATTAATTGGTTATTGCGGGTAATTTTAGTGGGCCGTTCAATGATAGGTAGTTACTGTAGACGAAAACACCATTAGTTGGAGCCAAAAGAAAAAAAAAAGATTTAAATTAAATCCAAAACCCTAAAGAACTCAGTCGGATTACAGGCCAAATATAATTTATAATTTGCCATGGCTAAAAGGAAACTGAAATATTTTTTTTCATCATTACTAGTATCCTCTAAAAATACTATTTAAGCACTATAAATTTAACCTCAATATACCATCGCGGGAAAAATTACTCACCACCCCCCCTCCCTCCCGCGAAGCATGAGCCCACGATGAGCCTTGTAGGCTAGGCCGAATCATGCTGGTCGGCTCGTCGTCCGAGCTTAGTTCTCCCTTATACCCTCTGAGAGGAGCGGTGACTGGTAAGCGAATCAGAATTCGGGCCGGAAGGGCTCAAGCCTCTTCACGGCTGTGTTCTTGACGATTGTGCGGGAGGACATTCCCTGCACATGCGTAATGGCAAAGCTGTTATGTCATTCTTAAAAAAACACGTTGATTGGCAGCATTTAGTCACCGCAATCATGGCTCATATATATGTTACCTAAATTCGGAAGTTTTAAAACAGTGGATGGCTCTGTGGATTGTGTAACTTAGTGTTCAATACGAGTGGAACCGTACAAAAAAGAGCTTGTAAAAATAACAAACAAACAAACAAATCAAAACAAAAACCCCGATAAATTGTCTTCCTCAGTCATTGGCTTACCTTCTCTCTTATATCTTTCGAAACCCCTGGTGGATCAGTTTTATTTTGTTACGTTGAAGCGCTCTGCCTTTCCTGGTGAATGTAACCAAAATTAGTATGCAGTGTATACATTAAATATATAAATTTAGATAGTTTTAATTTTCATACTATAGCCACTCGTCCCTTGTGGAAATCAGCTTTCTTTCTTTTAATTGTGAAGTACTTGTTAAATGAAGTGTATCTACCTACTGTATTCAATGTCTGCAATACAGTAGTTTTCTTGGTCGTATTCTCGAATGGCGTTTTCGGAGAATGTCGGGAACATCTCGGGTTTTTCTACTTCTGACGAAAGCTATCGAAGCTATAAGATCTATTTTTGCCAGGCTGTTTTATTGTGCAGTAGCGCTGCTTTCGCTATGTTTTGACCACCCCCCGTAGGGAGAGTCAAAATAAAGATATGTATCAAACTGGTATCAAACGATAATTCTTATTTTGAACTTTCTGAAAATTTCTTGATATCAGTTGAACTCGTTTCGCGCGTTCTTTCACTGCAGAGTTAAAGAATAAGGCTTCTTTACAGATACTTTTGTCGGCTTTCAATTGATCGTATTCAAGACACAATAAGCCGGCACACCTGCAGATATTGCTTGGCGCGGAAACAAAGAAAGCTAACGAACACTTTCAGTGATTTGTTTACAATTCCCTGACTTTAATCTAACAGTCGGCTAAGATTCAAGTTTAATCTTCCGTTTTCAAAAAAAAAAAAAAAAAAAAAAAAAA